ATGTACTATCACATAGTCTTAATATATATATGTTAATATATATGAATATATATTAAATATATATATGTATGTATTTGTCTATAGTTTGTTGTTAGTTGCTGTTGAGTCAGCTCAAACTTATGGTGATATCATTACAAAAGAACAAAAAATTGTTTGGACCTGTAACTATCCTCAAAACTATTTGTGTAAAAAAAAAAACTATTGGTGTGCTGGAGTCCATCTATGTGATATGTATTTTAAGTGCCTTCCTACTCAGAGAAGTAAATTTCCAGCACTATGTGGTATTGTTAGTTGCTGTAAAGTCAGTTTGAACTCATGAGGATTCCATGTGTGGAGAGAACTGTTCCATAGGGTTTTCCAGGCTGTGGCCTTTCAAGGTGCCTTTGGGTGGGTTCGAACCACCAACCTTTCACCATAAGTCAAGCACTTAACCCTTTGTACCACTCAGGACTCCTTTCTAGCACTATTTAGAACAACATTCTGTCATGATACTGTCTTAGTTATCTAGTGGTGCTATCTAGAAATAACACAAGTGGATATCTTTAACAGATATTTCTTTTCTCACAGTTTGTGAATGAAGTCTGAATTCAGTGTCAGCTCTAGGAGAATATCTTCTCTCTCTTTTGACGCTGGAAGAATATTCTGTCTTATTTCATCATCTGTGGGCCTAGTGTTGCTGGGAGATCTCCATATTTCTTGCATCAGTCTTCCTCTGGTTCTAGGAGGTCCCCAGTACTGAAACCCAGGATCCAATGGATGTGCTCCACCCTTAGCTCTTCATTCTTGATAGTAGCCTTCTTGTACTTCTGCTCATTTGTTTAATCACTTTAATATCTCAAAAGACATTGTCTCAAAATAGGACTTAAACAGGTAGATTTCATCCTGCTTCATTAGTATAATTGCCTTTAATCCTACCTCATTAACATCACAGGGGCAGAGATTTACAACACTTAGGATTCTGAGGCTCCGTCTAACATACTTTGGACATGTTGTGAGGAGAGACCGGTCCTTGGAGAGGGACATCATGCTTGGGAGGTTGGACGGACAGCGCAGGAGAGGAAGGCCCTCTATGAGGTGGATTGATTCAGTGACTGGGATAATTGGGATGGGATTGTCAGAGACAGTGCGATTGGCACAGGACAGAGCGGAGTTTAGGGCTGTTGTACATAGGGTCGCTATGAGTCGCAGGCGACTCGACGGCACATAACAACAACAACAGGATAATTAAATCAGATCACAAAATGAAGGATAATTACATAATACTGACAATTACATAATAAATGCCCAGCCAAGTTGACACATATTTTAGGAAAATTCAATCCATAACATTTATCCATTGTTGTTGTTGTTGTTGTTGTTGTTGCTTTTATGTGCTGTAGAGTCACTTGCAACTCATAGTGACCTTTTGTACAGTAGCTCTGAACCTGCTCTATCTTGAGCCAATTTCATTGTCTACAGCACACCTCCTCCCATTACCCTGATCACTGATTCAATCCATCTCATCTAGGATCTTCCTCTCTTATGCTGTCCCTCCACCCTTCAAGGATGATGTTCTTCCTTTTCCAAGGACTGGCCCTTCCTGGCAACATACTCAAAGTATGTGAGATGGAGCTTCATAATTCTTGCCTCCAAGGAGGCAAGTCTGGCTTCACCCTCTCCAGGACAGACCTGTTTGTTCTCTTAGTACTTCATGGTATAGTCACTACTCTTCTTCAGCACCACGACTCAAAGGCATTGATTCTTCTTCTATCATCCTTAGTCATTTTCCAGCTCTCTGATGCACAGCAAGTAACTGTGAAGACACCATAAGGAGTTTATTTGACTATATGATCTCCATATCCCAAAGTATCTTCTAGTTAAGATTGGGGGGAGGGGGGACGTGAGGTCTTGCTTTCTTTTTCATAGGAAATACAGCAATACAATGATTCCAGGATTGAAATATTTTTCAAATCTAAAATGGGGGTATTTCAGTCAGAGAAAATTAAACTCCTTATTTATAAACTGTCCTATATTTAATTTTATTTCTTAGGAAAAAATTGACCTGCAAATGTAGGCATAGACTAACTTCTCTGTCTGATAAAGCAGCTCACTTTATTAGAGACACACACTTAAAACACACTCTGGCCTCCCCAAGTCTTCTTACCTAGTCTAATTTTCTATCATGTATGACATTGTTTTCACTTGTTTGTTTCTTATCTATCTCATTCCCATAGTCTATTACCAGCTTCATATAACCAAGGTGTTATACCATTCCTTTTTTTATGTCATTAAACCTGTTGACATCAAGGTAATGCTGACTCGTAGAGACCCCATAAAACAGAGTGGAACTGCCCTGTAAGGTTTCTTTAGGGAATCAGATTGCCCCATCTTCTGAGAAAAAACAGAGAGATTCAAACCACCAGTCTTTTCTTTCGCATCCAACCACTTAACCCCTGCAGGCCCAGGACTCTTCTGTATATCATTAATACGTCATAAAGTGATCAACGTGTACCTTGTAAATGTCAGGGGAAAAAGAAATATTTCAGATTGTTTTACTCAAGTTCATTTTTGCCATCATAGATTTTTTTATTAACTCGATAAAAATTCTAGGATAAATCACTAAGTTTAAGGCCATTTAAAAATTTGTGATCACAGAAACTTGTCTCAATAAAATCCTAAATTGTTCAAAAGGGCAGCTACTACCAAGTAACAAAGTGCTCCAAATACATGGACAGATCTGTGCTTCCTGGGTCCCGTCACACTGCCCATCTGGCTTGTCACATCCTCTGCACAGAGTCCTGTAGTGATGGCAGATCGTGAAGGGATTTAGTCTGAAAGGGGAAGTAAATGAACTCGTGGAAAAGGCACCTTAGGAGATTAAATAAAATGCACAAATATATTCCTGCTATTATAACTGGAGAATAAATCTTTTCAAAGCTGCAACTGGTATGTTTGTAAACATATATTAAGGAGCTTTTCATTAGAGAGATATCTTGCTAATAAAGAGACTTCCAATCTTGGAGGTAAGAAGCAAGAAGTCCACAGTTCCCCCTTCTTCAGTGCATAGATGATGCTTTTCCAAGATCAAACTGGGCAGTGGGAATTGGAGAAGCTATTGAGCAGCTCTGCTTTCACCTGGCACTTGGGAAATGGTTTTCTTCAGTTATATAATCTCCCCATTGTGCTGCAGCCACCTCTTTCTGTTCTGTGCTGACAGCTTCTGTAATCAACATTGAGTGGCTCAGGTGAGAAGACCTCAAGTCATCCTAACTTAAGGATTAAAAATGCTTTCTAAACAAATGATAGCAGCAAGGATGTGGTGAATGCTACATTTGCCATTTTCTGTGATGCAGACCTCGAGACATAGGAAGTAAGGCATTGTATAGTCTCTGTCCTCAAGGAACTTCCAGTCCTGGGTGGAAGACAAAGTTAAAGTTCGCGATATCATGTGGCAATAAAGAACTGTGCCATTATTGTAAATGGTTATGAGGATACAAGGACGGGAGGCAGGAGCAAGGAGTGAGGATGGGCGCAGAACTGGGTTGCTTAATCATAGAGTTGCACAATTTGATGGGTGGAGGGGTTATAGAAAATGGGAAAGATAGGATGTGAAAAACAATGTATCCAATTTTGGTTGCTTAATCATAGAGTCGCACAATTTGATGGGTGGAGGGGTTATAGAAAATGGGAAAGATAGGATGTGAAAAACAATGTATCCAATTTTGTAAGTAAACCAGTATAAAATTAAAAATTTCTTTTAAATAAAAAAAAAACTGTCTGTGATGGGTATTTGAGATTTCACATGGTTTTGCTTTGCACATGCTTTTGTGTTGAGGCATGATTTACATATAGGAAAATGCACAGACCTGAAGTGTACATTTCTGTGAGTTTGGACCACAACATGGGGATCACAGCTGAGCAAGAGCTAGAATATTTCTGTAACCTCAAAAGTGCTCTCATGCTCTTTCTAGAGTAATCCTCACCACCACCAAAGGCAATCACTGTTCTGATTTCTTTCTACTCTTCTTGAACATCATATAAAAGGATTCATACAGTTGTGTATGAGAATTTACTTGGTTTTGAAGTTAATTTCTTAGAGTCACTGTTTATAACTGTTTTTTACCAGGAGGATAGCTTTTATTTTGATAGGCTCCAATTTTAAGGAATTCTTCATAACCTTTTACATTAGATAATTAGAGCGAGTAGGTTGAAGTTATAATCAGTAGATTAATTATCACAACATTAGTAAAATCAACTTTATTTGCCAAATATACCACCTACTGCAAGTTTTAAAAAACACAGTTTTTTAAACCATGCAACCATTTGAGCAAGTATGTTTTGTCATAGTAAACATCCACAGTTTAAAGTCAGCAAGTCAACACTCTTTGAAATTATTAAAACAATTCTTTTATATTAAGGGAAAACTTTTTTCCCTACCCCCCCCAAAGGGAAAACTCTTATCCGTTAGTATAGATAAAGATAGATAGTAATGCAACTTCCTAATGAGGTCTAGTTGGAATTTAATTGTCTTGGTAATTGCAAACATCCGCAGTCTTCCCTATATTTCCTTAGAAACAGTAATAATGTGTCCTTTGTTTCACAAAAACACTTGCGCCAAATGCTTCTTGTATTTTTAAGTACAAGTCTGAAAACTGCTACTCTTTCTTGGTCCCCATTGCATTCGGTAGATTGCACATGTAGATGTTCGTGAACTCTCCACAAACATCTCCTCTGCCCTAGATGTTTTCCAGATAACTTGGCCTCATCCATGTTCATTGCTCTGTTACTTCTCTTACAGGTGAACCGATTTAGTAAGGTGGAAGACCGAGCTATTTTTGTCACCGACCGTCATCTGTATAAGATGGACCCCACTAAACAGTACAAGGTGATGAAGACTATCCCTCTCTACAACGTAAGTACTCTCCTGATTTCTGAATAAAGGAGTTTAACTGTGGTAATGGATCATTACGGTTCGAAACATCATGCATGGGAAAATGGAGGGTCAGCAAAAAAGAGGAAGACCCTCAATCAGATGGATTGAGACAGTAACTGCTGCTGAGGGCTCGACTGTGTCAGAGATTGTAAGGATGGCAAAGGACAGGGTTTAGATCCATTGTTCATAGGGTTGCTATGGTTTGTACTCAACTCTAGTTAACAACAATGGATCGTTAGGGAACTGTGGTGGCCTGATGGTAAGGAACTGCACTGCCAACCGAAAGACACATGGTTCAGAGTTGCTCCCCAAGAGAAAGATGGGCAGAAGTCTCTTCCTGTGTGATTTACTGCCTCTGAAAACCTGCTGGAGGGTAAGCTATGAGTCAGTTTGATCAGAAGTGGTTTGATAGACTGACCAACAGACTCTGGTGCTTCCATTTGTTTTCAATCCCTTCAAGTCTGAACTGAGTCATGGTTGAATTTCTAGCAGGTTTTCCAAGACTGTAAATTGCAGGGGAGGAGACTGTTCATCCTTCTCTCTTGGAGCCAATGGTGGATTCGAACACCAGAGAGCTGCCTCTTTTGGGTTCTCAGGGCAACTCCCTGTGGACTATGCTCCCAGGGCTCCCTTTGGAGCTTTAGGGAGCTCCAAATTGTGTATTTTGTACAAATATACATTTTTCTGTCAAGAGGATCCAGGATTTCTAATATATAAACAAAGACCTTTTTTTTAGGTGTAATAAATACTAGATTCTGTATGATCTTTTCTAGTCCTAACCATCCTCACTGCTTAAATGTGATGGAATTGATAAATTTTTCTTGTTTATTTTGATAAAACTTATTGTTGTTTATTTTTTAAATAAATTTTTATTTTATATTAGTTTGCTTACAAAGTTTGTATACATTATGTTTCACACTATTCTCCATTCATGTCATGTTTTATACAATCATTCTCGTTCATTGTATTTTTAAAAATTAATCAACATTGAAATATGCCCATCATTGACCTGCCTTTCCAGATCTTCACTGGATCTTTCCCATTTCCTATACCCACCCCTCCTTCCACCCATCAAATTGTGTGACCCTATGATTTCCCTGCGCACATCCTCATCCCTCTGCTCCTACCCTCCATCCCCTTGGATCTTCATGCACGTTTTACTAGTTATCTTTCGATTTCTGCAAAAGTTGTCTTATACAGTATTATGGGATTGAGTTTGTTCACTCTGTATAATGCTCTCCAGTCCATCCTGAGTTAGGTTGTCATTTTTTAAATCATTGCTCCTGAATGCTGCATAGTATTCTGTTGTGTGAATGTACCACAATATCTCAATCCATTTGATTGTGGTTGGACATTTGGGCTGTTTCCCTGTTCTTGCCATGGTGAATCATGCTGCTGTGAAAATTGGTATACAAATCTCTTTGTCTCAATTCCAATTTTCTCTGAGTATATGCTAAGCAGTGGAATTGCTGGGTCATATGGAAATTCTGTGTTCAGCTTTTTGAGGAAACATTGAACTGCCTTCCAGAGTGGTTGTACCATTTTACAATCCCACGCACAGTGTATCTCTCTGCATCCTCTCCTACATTTATTGCTTTCTGTCCTGTTAAACTTTGCCACTGCTACTAGGGTGAAATGGTAGCTCCTTTATGGTTTTGCTTTGGATCTCTCCTATTGCCAGTGATTTTGAGCATTTCTTCATGTTTCTGTTGGCCATCCAAATGCCTTCCTGTCAATCCATCTTTTTTGCCCATTGTGTAATTAGGTTATCAGTCTTTTTCTTGTGGAGGCCCTGTAGGATTCTAAACATTTTTGTTATGAGACCCTTGTCTGAAATGGTATTGCCAATTTTTTTTCCCAGTCAGTAGGTTTTCTTTTCACCCTGTTAGAAAAAGGTTTTCATGCATAGGGTTTAATCTTTAGAAGGTCCCATATATCAATTTTATCCTCTCCTGATTGTGTATTTCTGTCTCTATTTGTCAGCCTTTTTATACCGTTGACTAAGCCTTCTAAGTTTGGTCCTACTTTGTCTCTTATGATCTTTATAGTTGTAAGCTTTACTCCTAGAACTCTGATCAACCTTGAGTTGATTTTGTGCATGGTGAAAAGTGTTTATATCCTGATTCAGCTTTCTTCTGCAGGTAGTAGTCCAGTTTTATCAATACCATATATTGAAGAGGTTGTCATTTTCCCATTTGATAGGTTTTGTTTCCTTGTTGAATATCAGTTGACCATAGAGAGATGGATTAATTTCTGGATTCTCAATTCTAATCCTTTGTTCTGTGTGCCTGTCATTGTACCAGTACCATGCTGCTTTGGTTAATACAACTATGTAGTAGAACAAGGAATTCTATGCCTCCCATCTCATTCTTGTTTTTCAAAAGTGCTTTGCTTGGTTGAGGTTTCTTTCCTTTCCAAATAAAATTGTCAACCGCCTTTTCTATCTCTTTGAAAAATCAATTTGGTGTTTGTATTGGGACTTTGTTAAACATGTAGATTGCTTTTGATTGGATAGTTATTTTCACTATACTGAGTCTTCCTTTCCATGAACAGGGGACATTTTTCCATTTATGTAGGTGCTTTATTATTTCCCTCAGAAGTGTCTTGTAGTTTTCTTTATAAAGATCTTTTGTATCTCTAGGTGACTTTTGAGGCTCATATGTGAGCTGTTTGGATTTGCTGGATTTAGCTTACAATGAGCTGTGGACTAGAAGCCTCTTGTTAAGAGCCAATCAGGGCCTGATGTTCCAGTCTGGGTTTTTAAAAGTGGGTTGGGTCCTCATGTTAATTGTGTTTGTATGAACATTCTTCTAAGTGGTACAGCACTGGTCTGTCAATTTGCTGTACTGAGGTAACTTGAGGTTGTGGTGATACTGAACACTGTGCCACTGGTGTGTCAAATGTCATAATGGTCACCCATAGTGGACAGTGTTTGGTGGAGCTCTCAGATTGAGACAGGCTTGGAAGCGGAGTGGCATCCACCTCCCAAACAACATGCCTCTTGAAACTTAGAGAAATGACAATAGTTATAGAACAGGTTCAGGTCTTTTGTTCATAGGTTAGCTGAGTCATGCTCAACTATGATGCCGCTTAAGAACAGTTAAGTTTTTTCCTAAGTATCTCAATTTGTGGTTGGCTGTTGTAAATGGTATTGCTTTCTTAGTTTCCTTATCTGTGTTTTCTTTGTTACAGTAGAGGAATTCCACTGACTTTTATATATTGATCTTGTAGCCTGCCACTCTACTAAATTGGTCTGCTAGCATTACCAGTATTTTTGTTGAGTCCTTGGGGTTTTCTGTGTACACTATCATGTCATCTGCATATAGCAACAGTTTAACCATCTCGTTGCCTATCTGGATAAGTCTTGTTTTTAATGAGAAATAGAATCAGGAGAAAATGAAATATGATACTTTATGAAAACTTTACTGCTTTTTAAATTATAGAATTTGCACGCTCCATCCAGTTCTTTCCACCAGTAGATTTCTGTTTACACACATAGGGTTCCTTATAGATAATCTCTGATCTTTTGTAAAAACTAACTTTATAGGATTTTGAAATTCTGCAATTATTTCTTTTATGGTTTTTATTATATATTATTTTGTGGGTTTCTTTTTGAATTAAATATAATGTTGTTTTCTTCTGCTTTATGGGATCTGCTGCTTCACAAGTGACTACATCGTCTCCTCTCTTATCTACATGGTTCATTTCCAAAGACCAAGTCCATATGCAAAATAATCAGCATTATAAAAAAAAAATTAGCATGATTGCATCCATTCACAAAAAAGAGGATGACTGCCTCATTCTGTAACTACCAAATTCTTGAGATTCATGGCCCAAACCAAGTTGTCATATAACAGTAACCTTCACAACCAGTGTTACCTTCACTTAGTACCCCAGCACTCATTAATGCCAAACATATAGCATGAGAGCACAGTGCTGATTGTGGAACAGACCATCAACTACTCATGTGCAAGTTCAAACTAAAGCTAAAGAAAATGAAATCCACACAAACCAAAATTTGACCTTGAATATATCCCACCTGAATAAAAAAAACCAACTCAGGAACAACTTTGAAGCCTTTGGACACTAATGAGGAGCCGTGAGAGGATATTAAGAATTTTGTCCATGAAGAATGAAAAATGTCATTACAAAGACAACGGAGGAAGAGAAGACCGAGATGGACATCAGAACAAACTCTGAATATGGCAGTAGAGCACTGAAAAGCCAAAGCAAAGGGGGAAACCTAGAAAGTTAAGGAGCTGAACAGAAGATTTCGAAGGGCAGCTCAGGAAGACAGAACAAAGTATTATAATGAAATATGCAAAGATCTGGAGTCTAAAAATCAAAAGAGCTAAACTTTCACAGCATTTCTTAAGCTGAAGAAACTGAAGAACAGATTCAAGCTGCAAATTGCAATACTTGAAGATGCTATGGGCAGAATATCAAAAATGGGAAATACCAAAAGAAGATGGAAGGCATACACAGAGTCAATTCAAAAAGAATTGTCTCACACAGAAGAATTTCATGAATCAGCATACAACCAAGAGGCAATGGTGATGAAAGATGCTCTGGAGGAATTGGCAAAATACAAGGACCCAGGAATTGATGGAATAGGATTTGACATAGTTCAACAAACATAAGAGCCCTGGACATGGTCACCAGGCTGTGCCAAGAAATCTGGAGTACAACTACCTGACCAACTGCCTGGAAGAGATCCCTATTTATTCTCATTCCAAAAAAAGGTGACCCGACAGACAGTGTGGAAATTATCAAACAGTAGCACTAATACCACACACACAAACAAAATCCTGCTGAAGATCATCCAAAAATGATAGGGAAAGTACATTCACAGATAACTACCAGAAATACAAGCTGAGTTTGAAAGAGGCCATGGCACTGGAGGTACCATTGCAAATGTCAAGATAGATATTGACAGAAAGCACTAAAAGAATGTCTATCTGTGTTTCATTGTCTGGCTC